AAATATAATTAATGATTATAATTTCACTTATATAGAGGAAAGAAAAATATTTTTTTTTTTTTTTTTAAATATTGATGATTTTGATTGAATTATAAAAAGCTTGTCTTACGTTTTCTTTTCGACGTTTGATTCAAGCATAATGCATAATGCTTGCGAATCAATCTGTCTTATTTTAGTGTTTAGAGAAAAAGAGAGCGTAATTATGTCAGTTTTGACGTAACTGCATATTTCAAGTGAGCCGAATTTTTTTAAATGAAGGGTGGCTGATGTAATTTTACGAATGGCTTCCCAACGCTCTGGAAAAATCTAAATTTATGATATTGTTCCAACGCCGGTAAAGCAAAGGGTCAGCGTTCATAAATTATTTTGGTTATATTCTGCATTATGTCCATCCGTACCCTTTTTTGTCTATCACGTTGCAAATTTAACGAATTATTTGGCTAACAAATAACCATCCTTTCTCATTCTCACATTTTCATTTCCGCTCTTTTATCCGTATTTTGAATTTAGCGCTAAACGTGGCTGTTCTATTTTCATCTCGTGTTGACAGTGAACGCATTTGTCATGCTACATAAATGAAACACAAAATTAGATGGATACGCTAAATGCGATATTAAAAGGAGCCGTGAATATCTTTTATCTAGTGTCATTTTTAGCTTTATGGGATAATTTGTCTGGGACAAATGTTTAGGACAAGTAAAATGTTAAAGAAATGTGATTTATCATTATTAAAGGTATCGTTATTATAGATATTGTTAATAATTCAATACATTAACCAGCTAATGTTATGCTGTAATTGCGGCAACGCACGCTGTAATTTATTTGGTAAACTATATTGCATTTTAGAATACAAACATGTAAAAGTGATAATACACTACAACTATATTACGTTATATTTAAGAGAGAGGACGATATATTTTTTAATATATTCTTGCATGTAATGGGTCTTTTTAATCTTCCTATTTTTTTTTTTTTGCAAAGCATTTTTTTTTATCTCTCTTTGTGACAAGTTTTTTTTTTTTTAATTCTTGCATGTAATGGGTCTTTTTAATCTTCCTATTTTTTTTTTTTGCAAAGCATTTTTGCTTATCTCTCTTTGAGACAATGTTTTTTTTTTCTACTAATTAAACTTGAAATACTGTTTTGACATCACCAGTGTAGTTAATTGAATCATTTAGAATGAGTCTTGAATCATCTAGAATTGAATCTTTTTTAAAATCGATAATTTAAATTTTCTGCGAAGCATAATTGTAGTTATATATCGACAACAATGACAGAAGGAGGAAGTTATTTTTATCGTGCAAATACACATGACAGTTATCGCGGCTCATTACAAATTATAACATCATGCTAACGCAACGCTTTCGTAGTTTGAATACCTATTGCTTAGTCCAAGGGCAGTGCCACGATGAAAGGGCCGGTTTTGCACTCGATGCTTTTCGCCGCATATAAATCTTGCCGTTTGTTCACCCGACCATAGAATGGCACCGGGAAGGTCAAAGGTTAAAATAATCATTGATTATTGTTAGTGACCGCGATTTCCGTCTTTCTTCCTTATATTGAGACAATTATAACGTGTTATGAACGATTTGAAACGAATCAGATAGTTTCATGTATACATTATAAAAAAAATTGTTCTATTAATCTATTGAAAAATTACTTTCTTTCTTAAAAAAATAGAAGGATAGTTAAGCGATCATTTTCGGGATTTTTTTTGAGAGATGACCATCTTTTCATATAATTATCTTTTAATTAAAAAAAACGTAATATTTTTAGTTTATGCTTGATTAAATGAGAAAAAATAGCATTTTTATGATCATTATTTAATATTATTTTTATTTTTATTTGTATTTCTTGGTACAAAAAATGTGCAATTTTTAAGCAGATGAGTGAAAGATATTAATACAAAATTTTTGCTAATAAAGTTCGAAATCCAGCCTAATTAATTAAAGATGATGTATATTAATTATGTATTTGAAGTAAAAACCTGTTTTCTATTATTCATGTGAAATATAAATTCAAACATGAGAAATACAGAGTAAAATAAAGTCTTTTTACACTATTTTTTTAAGAGAAATATAAAACTATGTAGAATGTCATTTTTATTATAAAAAAGAGGTGTTCTACATATTTCTATATAGGGAGCAGATTAAGTTTCGTCCGCGTGATGACGTCGGAGGAGGCAATTTATTGACCCGAATGGCTTTGGCCTAATTCAAGATGTTCCGCGCAGAAAAAGGAGAGATCGATCTTATTCGAAAATTTGTTGTTAGAATACGAAAACTAATCGGACGTTAATAGACGTCTACGAGATCAATCTCTTTAAGAAGAAGCACGTTTTTTTGCGGGAAGAAAGTTACATCACTATTATATTGTACAATATATTAACTTTCCATCATTAATAGCAACATAATTGATATCATTATTATAATCATAGCTATTGTCTATAGATATTAAGTTGAGAATATCTGAAAAAATGTATAGGAAATTGATCAAAAAATAAAATTAATCAAAGAATGCAATCACTATCGAAATATTAATAGCCGTTTAGTTATAAATTAAAAAAATAAAAATTTATACAATATCTAATAAAAATTTGCGATAAAAATAGAAAAAAGGGGATAAGGGAATCTCGATTTACTTAAACTGAAGTAAATATTATATATTTTAAACGAATTTTAATTAATTTTATCTTTACCTAAATTTATTTAGATATATCCTTTAATTTTTATTACTTAAACGGTTTTTAATAAAAATTAGATACTATTTATTTTTAATGATATTGATTCTTATGTGTATCTGTTGTGTATAATATTTATAATTTTATTAATATAATCTGATAGAAGATCACCAACTTTGACCCAATTTTAGATCGTTGTTTATTGATCGAAAAAGACAATCAAGAACTTTAAGAATGCTAGATCTGAAAAAAGAGCTGGATTGACTTACCAACCCCTAAGGGTTCAATCATCAGATCTTGGGCGGAAATCGTTCTTCAGATCGGATGCGATTAAAGTAAACTGAAAGGGATTATTGTCTCGTGAAAATCTAGTTAATGTAAAGCTTTGTGATCCATAATTAATTCGACCTTTCGTTTTGAACGAAATAGATTTAATTCTTCTTTATCAGAATCGTTTCTATTTATTTTTAGCTTGTTTTATATCATGCAATTCTATAAATTATTTTAATAATATTGTGTAAAAATATATCGTCTTTCCCATCTATCTATTAGGAAATTGAATTTACAATTTGTTGTTATAAACAGAAATGATTTTTGTTTCTATTAAGTTGCATATAAAATGAAGCATTTTAAAAGTTTCTTTTTTGTAAAATGCTTTTGGGAGTTATAAATCCATTGGAACGTAAATTGGTGAAAAACTGATGTACGTTTTGATATCGAAATAGAAGAGATGTTATGTTGTAGAGAGAAATAATATAATTTAACATTTTAAAACTATATTATATCATATTATATTATATGAGACGGTATATCATAATTTTCAAATGAGATTTTTGAACGCTTTTTGTTTATAAACTTTTTTGAATTTTAACGAACTAAAATTATAAATTAGCATATTGAAACATAATCATTATAAATAAATATATATCTAATTTTAATTACTTTGTAGTTACTAAAAATTATTTATAAAACCGACATTTTGAAATAATTTATATATTTCAAAAAAAGAAACTTTTATTGATTAAGATCTATTTACGTCAGTTATCAGTTGGAAATACTTTCTATACTTCTTACAACTCTTTAACAAGTGAGATAACGAAAATAATTTTATAGAAAATTAGCGTGCCATTTATATTTCGATATCTGAAGTAGATGATTGGTCTTATCGCTAAATTCTCAACTTACGAAGTGTCGAAGAATTATCTGATTGTGATTCAGCATGCGCATTTGAAATAGCCGTCGTAATACTTTTCTTCTCGTGAATAAGAAAAGTAATAAGAAGCTTATTGATTTTTTTATCTTAACATAATTATTTATTCTGCGTAGACAATCATTCAGCTTTATAAGCAACATCATTCTCAAGTAGATATTAATTAATTACTAATTGTAAGCAACTATCGTAAGATTTTGCCTTGAATTTTGTCGCGAATAATGGATTGTTTAAAATGGGCTTTATATTATACAAATAATTATGAATATAAAAGTATAAGTTACGGTCACGAAGATTTAAAAAGGAATAAATATTATGCATTTATAAATATTATACATAATTTATAAATATTATACATAAAATAATGATTGCGTTTTCTTGTACATACTTCTTATCGTAATTTAAATATTTCACTCACAATCAAACAAGATCGATATCTTGAAAATTTCATTCTATTGTATCGGAAATGTGAGGAAGTTACAGGAAGGTATTGTGCGAGCTTATCTCAGGGGTCCTGTCAATATTTTTATTCATCGTACGCCAATTGAGTACGGGATGCATCGTCGCTCTCTTGTTACCCGATTTGAAATGGTGTATATGGCGCGAGAAGCCAGTTGCTCATAAGGGTTTCCACGGTCGCGATGTCACAGAGACATCAATATCGAATTTCACGTCTGTTTCAAACCGAACTCGAAATGTTCTCTTGAGTTTCACGAATACTTGGGGGTCTCAGAAATACGATCTCTTCTTCCTACGGGCGTCGGTATCTCGAGATTCTT